AAAAAAAAAAAAAAAAGGGTTGACTTGACGAGACAAGCTATCATCAATTGGAAAACAAGGTTGAACTGGCGAGACAAGTTGTCATTAACATACAGTACATAATATATTGTAGGAATTTTTAAGATAAAACTCACAAAATATCATTAATATTGTAGTTCATGATACACCTCATATTTGTAATATAGTATATAATAGGTTTAATACATTTTTTGGTTCTTCTACCGTAGGGAAAAGTCTTTTTTTAGTTTTTATATTGAAAAAATCTCTTTTTTAGTCCTTACTGTTCACAAATTCGGTCCCTTTTTAGTTTTTCTGTTAAATTTTGGCAGGTTAATTAACGGAAACACTCATTCCTTTTTTTTAACTAAATTAAGTGGAAAATTCACGTGACATGTTAAATTTTTTACCTTTAATTACTGATGTACCCTCGTCTTCTTCTCCGGCTTCTCCTTCCTCCAGCCTTTATTTTTTTCCTTTTTTTTCTTTTACCTCCAGGTGAACCCAAGAGCCTGGGTTTGCGAGGAACCCAGCTCGCGGGTTCACGACGAACCCAAGTCTTGGGTTTGCCTGGCCATAAATTTGTATCTGTGTAGGCAATCGTTTACCACCATGAACTGATTGTGGTAGTACCCATCAAACCTTTCCTGATCCCTTACGTCCTGCAGCGTCACGTACCCCAGCTCCATCCACGGCTTCAGCACCTTCAACAGCTCCTCGTGAACCCCTCCGACGTCGTAAATGATAAAATGGGATCTCTTTCCGAACAGTCTCACATGGTATGCTATCCACTCCCTCACCCTTTGGGGGCTCAAGTTCCCGTACAGCGGAACCGGCAATATAGGTAGTCGTATTTGGGTTCCGCCATGAACATTGAAATATTCAAGCTTTTGGTGGCTAAGTCAATGCCGGAATTGTGTCCGTAACGTTGAATTTAGCGTCCCCACCTCCAGAGGTGGAGGCTTGCAGGAGAAGCATGCCACCGGAATTGTCGGTGTTGATTGGTTGAGAGAATGTGCAATTAACGACCACAACGGTGCACACGCGGCCGTAGCCCCAGTCTGGGAGGATCTTGTAAGCGACGGTGGTGGTGTTTGCTTGGCTATTGTTTTGTGGGATCCACTGGCATTGATAGGTCGAGCGGGAGAACACGTGGAGGGGCTTGGAAGCGAGACCCACAATGACGAAGTTATTTGGGCCGCCTCGATAGGTGCCCATGGTAATGAAGTTGTAGGCCACCGCACCATAGGGGTTGAAGGCCGCCGTGAGGCGCCGTTAGGCAGCCGTTGATCACCTTCAACAGACGACGGTGATCACCTTCAACAAACAGACAAAAGATGTTCTTCCGTGTGCTTAATTTCCAGCTCCAAGAAGTCTAGTATTAGTGACATGCATGAGTCAACAATTGATAAATTTAAGTCACGAACGTCGCGAACCCAAGACCTGGGTTTTCCTGGAGGTAAAAGAAAAAAAGGAAGAAAAAAAAAAGGCTGGAGGAAGGACAAGTGGGGGAAAAAGATGAGGGGATATCAGTAATTAAAGGTAAAAAATTTAACATGTCATTAATTTTTGCCATGTGGATTTTCTACGTAATTAAGTAAAAAAAAAAAGAATGAGCGTTTCTGTTAATTAACCTGCCACATCAACCAAAATTTAACGGAAGGATTAAAAAGGAGCCGCAATTTGTGAACAGTAAAGACCAAAAAAGGGATTTTTTCGGTACAAGAACAAAAAAGGGCTTTTTTCTATAGTAGAGGACCAAAAAAGGTATTAAACCAATTACATTCTACAACTCATTCAATATATGCCTAATATCCTATGGTTCTAAGTAGCAACAAACCAACAATCACAAGTATGATGATAAAATAAAAAATAAAAAGTAAAAAGAACACTCATAGGTATAACTTTTATTTTAGCATATTGTAAAACACATTTATTAAAAAATTATTATTTTTTAGTTCGAAATTAAAGGCAAATTTAAAGATGTAGCAATGCATATAATATGCATGTACTAGTTTAATCAACTGTATTTATATTATGTTTTAGAATTTGACAAGTGTCAAAACATGTGTCAAACCAGAAATGTGTACCAACCATTTTTCAAAATGAAAAAAGTAAAAAGTAAACAAGTTGACTTGTCATGACTACTTGAGGGTTTCTCATCTCCACCTTTTTAACTCTCCTCTCTAAAAGCCTTATCTTTTTATCCATTCATCCACTTAGCATTTTCATCTAATTAATCATTTTCTTGTAACAATTTTAAGTTTTCATCAAATCTTCATTTTCCTACATCAATTTTCCTTTTTCCAACTATAGCTTGCTATTTTTCCTTTTGATTTTTTTTCTTTCTCCTTCACATTTCTAGATTCCTTGTCTTTAAATATCAACAACTACCTAGCTTTTCCTATGATCCTTTCCTCATTAGGTAGCAAATGGAAATATAAGCATTGATCCAAATACGATGTAGTGCTAAATCAAATGAGAATACAAACTTAAAACATGAACAAACAAAAGTTAGCGTACATCTTCTTGGAACAACAATTAAACCTCATTCCCATGTTTTGGTAAGCAAATGAAATTCAAACTATAGCAAGCAATGCTTAATCGCATTTTTTTGAGAAAAAGAGAAGCAAAAGAAGGAGAATTCTAGGGTTTCACAGGTAAGAGAAAAAGATAAAAGAATCATAAAAAAGGGAAGAGAAAGAGAAGGAGAAAATTTAAGTGTTTTGGGGAATGAAGTAAAAAGAAAAAAAAAATTAAGAAGAAGACAAAATAGAAATATTGTTGTGGCTTCCACCAATAGGAAAGATTAAAATGTGCTAGAATTTGATGTGGAAGGTAAAAAAATGCCATGGTGACAAAAGATGGCTATTTTGTTTTATAAATCATCAAAATTTTAAAAAAGGACCAATTTTGGGACAACTTAGCGTGCCACCAATCACATTTGTAATGGAAGGATAAAATTTGTACTACAAATTGAAGTTTGAGGACATTTTTGATACTTTTTAAAGTGTAAAGGTAGATTGGTGCAAATTTGAAAGTTGAGGGATGAAATTAATATTTTAACCAAAATTTTTTCATTTCGAGATTTCACACATATAAAGACATAACTTTTTAAAATTTTGTTAATTAAGAGTATCACCTTTTTTTTGAACTAATTAAAATCCTTGCTTTTCAAAAGTTTTTAATTAAAAATATTACCTTTCTAATTTTACTAAATTAATTAGATGTCAGTACTGAGTTAGCAAATGGATTTTATTTGTGAGACCCACTAAATTGTTGACATGTCAAGAAAATGGCAGGTGTCTACTAACTGGGAGTTGATTAGGTTAATGAAACATAATTGTCGATACCACAATATAGGTGTCAATGCTTATATATTAAATTTCATGTCTACACATGGTATTGACACCAAAAAGGGCAGTGTCAGCACTCAACCTATGTCCGAGGATCCCTTTTCCTTGAGATTTTTTTCAATAAATAATGAAAAGCATATAAAACCTATGAAAAATCATAAATATGATACCAACGAGGGATTGGATCAAGTGGTAAGCGGCTTGTTCCAGTTTAAGTAAGGTCTCGAGTTCGAGTCCTTGTGTATGCAGCAGCCCCCGCTGGAAGACTCATCCACCATTTCCAGGTGTACGACGCGGGTCAAGTCCGGATTAGTCGGGGCGAAGCCCCGGATACCGGGTGGGAAACCAAAAAAAAATAAATATGATACTGAATTTATAGACTAGTTAAATACAACGAAACACACTATATAGATTTGCTAAAACCAATTTGTCTTTTGAATATATTATATGAACTATTATACATAAAAGATGTATTTAATGTACCATATTGAATTTTTGACAATTATATTAGCAAAAATAACAATTTTAAGAGGTCATCATTGATGGTTTATGTTTGAAAATTAACTCCCTTGTGCAAAGCATTTTGTTGCTTGTGAAAAAAATTATCCACTTAGAGAATAAAATGAGTCATTTTGAAAATTGTGATTATCCTTCTTTTACCTCTTTTGTTAAAGGTTTTCAAAATCCTTGCATGACAAAAATTACAAAATTACTATTAAAATTGTGCTCCTTGTAATGGACAAAAATTGCTATTAAAATTATACTTCAAGTTCATGGTATGGCATAATAGCAAATATATATATATATATATATATATTGGAGGGATTTTGAGATGGATTGTAAGGGTGAAGCACTCTTTCTCAAAGGAGTCAATACCGTACTGGCATGCGTACCAGTTTTGCTACTGGAACGGTACGTACCGAATATTGAAATTTTTCGCATACCGTTTCGGATTTATCGTTATAAAACAATTTTGTGAAATATTTTGTTAAGAAGTTGAAGAAAAAAAACAAGAAAAGGACTCAATTGAAAAAATTAAAAAGCTGAGGATGAAATTTACTAAAATAAACTCATAAATCCAGGCCAATATTGAGCCCACTAACAATTTAATTCAAGTTTCAACCCAATTTTATAAACCAGCCCATCAAAACCCAAATTTAACAAAGAAAACCCTAGTTTCCTCTCTTTTAAAGGGGAAGGAGGAGGTGGTGGCTGGCAAACAAAACAAAAAAAGAAAAAAAAGAGAGGA